TTACGAAGAAATTGAGGGGTATAACTCGAATCCCGAAGGAATTTTAAACCAACAAAAGAAAGGCAAAGTTAAAACTTTTCTGATGTTCCCCATAAGCGGCAGGAGAAGACGCTCGAGAGTAAGCCTGCTAATGGCATTTGCAAAAAACAACCTCCCGGCGACAGGGCATTTGACAACTCCCCTTCCGAAGGTACCATTTATTGTAAGCAAGCTTATGGCGCTTGAACCAGTTCATGAAATTCAAAGCTACGAATCCTAAGCTTTAAAAAATATATATAGGAATGAGCTGCTCACCGATACTCTTCTTCACGCTGTCGTTGTCGATCCCTTTTCTTGATCGCCTTTTCTTGTCGTTCATACTTTTCATGTCGTTTAAGATAAGCCTCCTCAGAAAGATCCTGTAATTTTCGTTCAATACGAAAATTACATTTTCGAGTGATTCAGGCACTAACCAGAACAGCAGGGATGGAAAATTCTTGACAATAAAAATATGATGAATTCAGACAAAGAAACATCATCTCAGCAACGTCACTGACACAGGACACTGACCGTTTGGATCGTCTTAGAAGTTTTTATGCGTTTCGTAGTTTTTATGAGTTTTTTTAATGCTTTTTCTAGTTTTTATGCGTTCATATATTATCGAGGGGTTTTTCATTTTCCCATACCGATTTTTCATCTCGAAACCTACAAAAGCTACACGAATGAAACTTTAAGAATTTGATCTACATATCCCCGAAATGGACGCTCTTGCCCGCGTGGTTCCTATGTACGGACTCGTGAATGTTTTGGCGAGTAAGCTGCTAAGCCGGGAACCGAAAAAGTCAGAAAGCTGAAATTTTAAAAGGATGTTCCTAAACTAATGACCTCAAATTCAGTTCCCAGATGTGCACGGTTCTCACGTACGGGCGAGTAAAAATCTTTGGCGAGCAAGTTGTAAACTCGGGGACCAGAAAAACTAGAAAGCTAAAATTTTAAGGGGATGTTTTCTCACAGCCGAGGTGACCAGTCTCAATTCTTTTAGAGAGAAGCATCTGCCGGAGTGCCGTTACTGACAAAATCCAATGGAAAAGTGTGCAAAAAACGCATGTGTGCACCAGCTTTCGGTACGCTGGCCAATTATTATGTAATTTTTCAAACTATAATTTATCTTTCAAAAATTTCTAACTGCATAAAATCTCTAACTGCATAATTTCTAACTGTATAACCAAAACTATAATCGAATTTTTGACAGCGTTTTTTTTTGTATTTTAACTAACTATCTATACCACCTTATAACGCTACCAATAATTTTAGTTACGCTAAAACACAGCCACTGAACAACCTGATTCAACTGCAAATGCAACGTAAAACTATTAGAAAAAAGAAACACTGACCTCTTCAAGAAGGCTGGGATCAATTCGGAGCGGAGTGAGTTCCTTCACCACGCGAAATCCAGGAGTTTCGAAGCGCTCTTTGGCTTTCTTAGGTTTTTTTCCTACCAGCTCGTCGTAGCCCTTCGCCTGGAAAGGCGTGTCACCAGAGGTACTGGGCTTGTCTTTTCTTTTAGGCATAACTGATGAATTCTTCGGCAACAAAGTTAATGTAGCAAGTCAACGTAAGAAACAATGATAAGCGTACTTTTCAAAAGTTCTCTTATATATAGGTGCAAAATCTACGCGCGAAATCTTCCTTCATCCCTTGATCCCTCTCATATTCCGCGCCAGATTTTATGAGTTGCGTAAAAAAACTAGGAAAAATGATATTGAACCTGTGATCGTCGCCGACAGGCGGGATGAGA